AAAAAAAAAAAAGGCAAATTTTATGCATGTATGTGTGTGTGTATATATCCACAATATTAAAAAGTGGATTTGGAAGAAGAGTTTACAATAAATAATGTGGGGCAATGTGATAAAACACACGGTGAAATTCAGTAGTTAATCGTGAACTGCCTCGAGGGGTGGGGCACCGTGGGTGGAATTATTATTATTATTAATTACTGTTATTATTATAACTTTTCTGCCTTTTCCAAATTTTTATAAAGAGCATATTAGTATTATAGATGTACTTAAAACCCCAACCAACCATCTTATACTCGCAAGCAATCATTCACGTCTGCCCATGGACGCTGCTGATTAACAACTGTAATCAAGGCTTTCCCCGCCTCTGGGGCTCCCGCCCCCACGCCTGTCGGGGTTTTCAGAGTGCTTTCACATTGGCACAGTCAGTCTGTGCAATGGTCATCGAGGGAACCTGTTTCTATTTAAGGAAACCAATGGCCCAGCTCAAACGCCATCTCCTGGGTACCCTCCTTTGTCTCGCCGGCTGAGGATAAGCCCTTCCTCAATGCTGAGCTGGAGTTCTGTTCAGTTCTCAGTGCCAGCCCCTGGCCAGGCACTGAGCACAGCGTGGGGAGGGAAAGAGCCATGGTCCCTGCTTTTTTGGAGCTTCTAGTTTCATGACTGAAACAGACTCAAAGCAAACCAGCCCTGGAGAAAAAGGCATTCATGAGCTGGGAAGAGCCTAGGAGGGGAAAACACAGAATAGCTACTTTAGGAGTGTGAGAAGGCTTCTGCAGGGTTGGACAAGGAGTTCTCCAAGAGAAAAGCAGGGAGAGGAGCTTCCAGAAGAGGGACTGGCATGTGCAAAGGCCCTGGGGTGAAGAGAAGCAGGACACACTGGAGGAGGCTCAGCCGTGGGAGGTGCAAGACATCAGACAATCCCTTCACCAGTTTCAAGGGGAGCCACTACCCCCCCACCAAGTCTCCCCATTCTGTACCTTGCCAAGATCTCAGGCTGGCGGGACAGCTCCATCACCGTGAATGCCAAATGATTGGCAGAGGTCTCATGGCCTGCAGGAAAGGAGAGCAGCAGTTCTACATGGGGCTACCAGGCTGCTGCTGGTCTGCCCCAGCTGCCTCCGAGACCCTGAGCCCATGGTGGCAGTTCAGGTCCTCACTTCTGCCCCCTGCAACTGAGCTGGGTGTCCAGATAGGAAGGAGATAGGCTGCCCACCCACAGATCCCCTGTGCCAGTCAATGTAGTCCAATAAATGGCATTTGTCCCCATGCATCTGGTTTTTACACCCTAAAAGCTCCTTCTGGGGTGTCTGGGTGGCTTAGTTGGTTAAGCGTCTGCCTTCAGCTTGGGTCATGATCCTAGGGTCCTGGGATCAAGCCCCGAGCTGGGCTCCCTGCTCAGTGGGGAGTCTGCTTCTTCCTCTCCCTCTGCTGCTCCCCCCTGCTTGTGCTCTCTCTCAAATAAAGAAGTAAAATCTTAAACAAAAAAATTTGATGAGCAAAGGAATGAAGTTGCCTGGCACGTCTTTTTGTGCTGGTCTAATGAAGGTCTCCTCATAAATGCTGAGGGGGTGGGGCCTTGAGTTCACATGGCCAAGCTCTCCTGAGCCCAAAAAGGCAGCTTCACGCCCCCTCACAGTGGCCAGCTCCATCACCAGGTCAGCGGCCACCGAGAAGACCTCCTGGACCTCCCCGAGCAGAGGGAGGCCTTCTGCTCCCCTATCCCAGCCCCTCACTTCTGCAGCAGAACTCCGCGCAGACAACCCAAAAAATCGCCCAGAGTCAGGTCTGAGGGGATGCCTGGTTCCCACCATTTCTGCAAAGCCTTGAGCCCTTGGCCACCCCTGGAGCTACAAACCAGCAATGAAGAAGGTGACGAAGTTGTCCAGCAGGATCTCATCGTCCTGGGCCCCCTCTTCAGCTGAAAGACAAGGAGGGTCTCAGGGCCCAGCAGCAGACGCCTGCTACACTCGTACCCCTTGTTCCCTTGCCCCGCGGCCCAGCGATGAAGCAAACGACCTTCTCCCCGGAAGCCAGATAGAGACACCCGGAGTCAAGTGTGGTCAGCCACCATGACAGGGGGCACCCCTGCCGCCCGGCCCTCCCAAGGCCCACGTGGGAGCCCTCGAACCTTTGAGGATCTGTGTGAGGATGTCGGCAGGGACGTCCTCCCCCCTCTTCAGGGCCTCCCGGCGGCGCTGGACCCAGTCCTTGCCAACCTGGCGCAGAAAGCGGATGCTCTCCCGGATCTCTCGGACCTGCTTCCACTTCCCTGGCATAAACTGAATAAGAACTCCCGCTCAGGACACCAACCAAGCACGCAGGTCAACCTCTCCCTCTCCCCCAGCTCCGAAATGACTTTAGAAACCCACAGCAGCACAGGCAAGCTGGGAGGTGGGAAGACTGCGAGAAAATTCTAGAAATATCTAGAAAAGATAAAGCAGCCAAGGAGATTTGACCAACATGGCAGGCTGAGCCCAAGCATTGGCTTCCCTTTCCTGTACCAAATCCCTAGATGTGATGGGAAAGGTGCCTAGAAAATTAGAAGGGGTCCCTGAAGGATGGAGGTGGCTAGGACTGCAAGGAAGGAGGAAACCACAGCCAGAGGGGAGGGAGGTAGAATCAAGTGCAGAAAAGATGGGGTGGCATCAGGGGATCCCAAGCTCAGAGGCTGAAGTCCCAGGGAACAGGAAGAGGCCCTGGGCATCTGAGGATCAACTCAAGTACCACCTCTCTCCCTTCTTCCTCCTTCATGCCTGGAACAAGGAGGTGATAGCTGGAGCTGCAGCAGCGATCTTATAACAATGAGGTGATATGCTGGAGACAGCAGAACAGAAAGACAAAAAAATTCCAGGAACATCTGACATTGTGGCCCTAGCACAGCCCTCCTAGATTGCCAGCTTCAGGATGATTTTACATGAGAGGAAGATTAACTCCTAATTTACTTAAACCACTTTGATTTTGATTCTCTACGTTAGGTGATGTATGCAAATCCTAACTGATTCAGAAGTCACTTCAGTCATAACCAGAGCTCAGAACCCATTCTGAAAAAAGGTCACTGGAGGAGGTGCTCCAGCAAATTTGGACAACGCCAGCTCTGGTCACCGGAGGGGTGTGGGGGCAGTACCGTCGCCAGAGTGTTGCGCGATGCAGTAATCCCCTCCAGGATGAGTTTCACCTTCCGGGACAGAGGCTTCTGGGCACCCAGCAGCATGCCTGTCTCCATCCCAAAAGCTGCCTGGGGGAGAGAGAAGGGCGAGGTCTTCCCTGGGGCAATGGGAAGACTTGAAGACCCAGGGCAGAACCTGGCGCTGCTCAGCTAGAGACCCAGGCCCTGGGCTAAGGGCTTACATGCATTGCGTCATGGAACTCCTTACAATGACCCACGATGATTCCAACCTCGTGGGACATGGTGAGGACTACATAGCACGTAGTAGCGACTCCACAAACCTTGGCTTCCTTCCTTGACAAGATGCATTTCCCCAGAAATGCAGCCTTCCTTGGTGTCCCTTCTATACCCAGCCTCCCACTGAATTACTGGGTGACAATGACCCTTCACTGTGTCTGCACTCCAGCCGCCTGAACTGACCTTAGCCAGGTGCGGGGGACATTGAGCCACTGCTCAGCCTGCCAGGGTGCAGAGCCAAGCCAGACCCAGGGCAGGTGGGTTTTGGGCTGGGAGGCAAGGAGACCTGAGATCCAGTCCAGCTTCTGCCACTGACCAGACACAGGCCAGTCCCCACACCTCTCACGGTCCATTCCCAGAGAATGAGTTAGTAGCTGTCATCTCGTACAAGTTTCTGTTGAATATTCAAGGAGATATGAAGTTCCCCATGCAGAGAAGGGGTTGATGTGTGGAGGACGAGGAGGAGGGTGGAGGAACGCAAGGAAAGGGAAGAGGGAGAGAAGAGCAGCCCTCTGACCCATGTCAGACCCCGCTCCCATGGCCCACCAGCCTCCCATCACCTTGGCCAGGATGTCCATGGTGGTGCAGGTCAGCATGTCCTGCATGGACACCGGGGTCTGCCCATCTGCCTTGGCCTCCAGAATCTCCACCAGCTGCTCGGCTTTCTCGTTGAACGTTTCCATCAAGCTGACCAAGGAGCTGGGGAAACAGCATCCGTTGGAAGAGCCAAGAAATTGGAAAAAATTCAAATGTCTATCAACCGATGAATGGATAAGCAAAATGTGGTGTGTCTAATACAATGGAATTTCATTTGATAATTAAAAAAGGAAATTCTGAAACATGCTTTGGCATGGATGAACCTCAAAAACCTTATGCTAAGTGAAAGAAGCCAGGCACAAAAAGAAATGTTGTATGGGGGCGCCTGGGTGGCTCAGTCGGTTAAGCGACTGCCTTCAGCTCAGGTCGTGATCCTGGAGTCCCGGGATCGAGTCCCGCATCGGGCTCCCTGCTCGGCGGGGGGTCTGCTTCTCCCTCTGACCCTCCCCCCTCTCATGTGCTCTCTCTTTCTCATTCTCTCTCTCTCAAATAAATAAATAAAATCTTAAAAAAAAAAAAGAAATGTTGTATGATTCCATTTATAAGAAATGTCTGGAATACGAAAATCCATAGAGACAGACAATAGATTAGTGGTTGCCAGGTGCTGAGGCCACTGAGGGGAAACAGGGAGCGCCTGCTTTTTGGGGTGATGAAAGTATTCTAAAATGGATTGTGGTGATAGTTGTACAATCTTGTGAATATACTAAAACCCATTCAATTGTAAGTGATGAATTGTATGGTATGGAAACCACACCTCAATAAAAGTTATTTAAAACATAAAATGTAACCAAAAGCGAAAACTGTAATAAGGAAAACGAAAAGCCCAGAGGAGGAGTGATGAGGGGAGACCCCCACCCCCATTCATCACTGTCACTCAGCCCTTGATGTTCAGCCCCCGTGTCCCTGGCAGCCTGCCTTGCTGTCTCTGACTGCTAATGCCCTCGCCTCCCACCCTTCAGCTGGGGTGAGGCCCCCTCCCGTGAAACTCAGCCCCCTTCCCAAGGCCCGCCATCTTGGACACACTCACCTGCGGCTGAAGGCCAGGTCCATGACCCTGCGCTGTTTATGCCAGCGCTCATAGTCACATTCGGACACCAAGCCTTGGCCAAACAGTCTGCGGGAGACAAATGTCTGATGTGAGCAACAGGGAGGGAAGGGGGACTGATGGCTTGATGGGGACAGGGTCACCTCTTGGGATGGTGGAAATGTTCTGGAGCTACACAGTGGTGATGGTTATACCATATTGTGAGTGGACAAAATGTCACTGAGCTGTAACTCCAACATGGTTAAAATGAGGACTTTTGTGAATTTTACCATGATAAAAAATAAATAAGAAATGGGGTGATCATGTCCCCCACCCTTGCAACCCCTCCCCCTCCCCCTGCCATCCAGAGGGGAAAGAGGAGAAGGACGGTGACAATGACAATAGCAGTGGCCACCATTTATGGGGCACCTGTCACGTGCCTGATAGCCTGGGCCCGGGACTCCGTGCTATGCCCAGTGCCCCGGGCCCCGCAGCCCTCTGCCTGCTGCCAGAGGCTTTCCCGGCCTCTACCCCAGCCCCTCCTCATGCCTTACCTCTCACCAAACACAGTCTGGATTGCGTGGTACATCTTGGAGTCCTTGTTGTACTTGGTGGACATCAGGAACTTCTAAACATCCCCAAAAAGCCAACATGAGCTCGTGCACCCGTGAGAGGCTGCAAGGGACTCAGCAGTTTTCTGGACTCTTGTGAAACAATGCCCCGACAGTCACCATTAACTGAGTCCCCACTGTGGCATGAGTACTTCACCCAGCACAATCTCACCTAACCCTCCAGAAACCCTGTCTTCAAGCAACAGCATCTTGTTTGGGGATGAGGAAAGCAGGGCACAGAGGGGCACAGTGATATCCTGTGGCCACACAGCTGGAGTGGTGCGGTGGGGGATCCTCACTTCAATGCCCACGCACGGACCTCACAGCACACCCACCACCTTCCAAAGCAGCAAGAACGAGGAAAGGCAGGTGCTGCTCTGAAACCAGAGTGGGGAAGAGGAGAAGCCCAGAGGGAGGGCTTCTGGGACACAGGAGAGACACTCGGCACAGATTCAGTATTGTTAGTGCCAACCCAGGCATGGAAGTCAAGGAAGGCTTCCTGGAGGAAGGATCAACTTGCCTCAGCACAAACTGGATGGTAGCAATAATAACATTAGCTGACAGCTCTTGAGCCAGTATAGCCAAGGGGTTAACAGCTCAGGCTGTGGAGTCAGCGGGCTTGATCCAGGCTCAGCATCTTCACTCCACCACTTGCTAACTTTATGACCACAGGCAAGTTACTCATCTCCTCTGCCTTCAGCTTCCTCATCTCACATGATGGGGATAAGAACAGTGCCTGCCTGGGAAGGTTGCCGTGAAGAGTAAATTTGTTCTACGTGAAGAGTCTGAGAACACTGAGACACAGCAGGTGCTCCGTGAATGTCAGGTGCACATCCGCATCCTATAGCTCACTTAGAGCCCAGTCAGCCCTAAGCTGGGGGTGCTATTTTTATACTCATCTTACATATGATGAAGAAACTGAGATTTAAAATGCCCAAGGTCACACACACAGTGAATGATGGACATAGGATTTGAATCCAGGCAATTTGCCGTGGGACAGAGGAAAGGGAGGGCTGTGATCCAGGCAGGAGAAGCCCAGGCCACATGCTGCCTTCAGGCAGAGTGAGAAGTGGGGAGGGGCAGCAAGGGGGCTGGATCCCAGAGGTCTGCCTTATAGTACAGTGAGCTTTACCCTGTGGGCACTGGGAAGCAGCAAGACGATATCTCTACTGTACATTAATCCAGGGGCTGCTGGGATCTGGGAACTGAGCCTGGGGCTCTAATATCGATTTTTCAGCTGAAAGGAAACCCCCAAAATGGCTGACTTCGGATCATGAGCCATATCCTAAGAACCCACCCCCACCCACTGTCATGTATAAACCAACTTCCGTTACTACCCACTACCTGTCCCTATGACAATAAAGGCCCACCTCCCAGGTCCCTCTCAAACATCCCTAAATAGTCCAAGGTCTGTGCCAACCCTCCCAACCTAAACCCAGGAGTACCCACACTGAGGCACAACAGCCTCAACTTAGGCTCCAATCAGGTGTCCCCATAGTTGGGGGTCCCCATGCCTGCTGTCCCTGGGAATGGGGATTCTTTGAAGGCCCAGTGACCTAGGTTCTGGGGACACGAGGGGTGCATGGGGCACCCTCAGCACCTTCGCTGCCTTCTCTGGTTGTCCACACTGACAGCACTCCTCTGCGCATTAAGGGATAACTGCTGGGGACTTGCCCTCTTGCCATAAGCAATAAAAAAAAAAAAAAAAAAGGCAAAATGCATGAAATGTCTGTTTTCAGACACTAGACAACAGGAAGTGCTGGATTGTGAATCCTAAGAGAAGGAAAAGAAAAAAAAAGATGTGAGCCCTACGACCTAAGATTACTCCAGCTTTTTACAATTTCAGGATAAAGGCACTAGAAGATAAAACTCAAGTATATCCCAGCAGGCTTTCCAAGTTGATGAGACAGAAATCAGAGTCCAGACAGGCCAGAGGAGGCTAGAATTTGTAAGGCAGAGAACCTGAGGGGAGGGAGCTATGCATTGAAAGAGCTCCTGTGCAGAAATCTGCATAGGGATCCCCTGCATCTTTGGATGAATACCAACCTGTGCATGCATACAGTGAACACAAGACCGAGTTAAAAACTTCTAGGAAAAGGAGAATCACTGAGTAACTACAGGCTGAACAATTCTCAGAGCTTACACAGGCCAAGAACTGTTCAAATTCCCACTGGCCCGAGTTAAACCTCAAACATAAGGGCTTTATGTGGTCCCCAGAAGAGTCACTCCTTAGTACTGGGGCTAAACTAGCTCTAGAGTACAAGTTGACCCAAGACCAACCCTATAAAAGCCTTAGAGCAAACCTGGAAAGGATCAAACTGATCCACAGGCAACTTTACCGTCTTCCAGAATGAATTCCAGCACCCTTTAAAGGAATGAAACAAAAGTGAGCATTCAACAACGCACAACTCACAATGCCCAGGGTCCAAAATGCAATCACTAGACATGCCAAAGAGCAGAAAAAGCTACCTATAACCAGGCCCAGAAATAACAGAGAGGATGGAGTTTGCAGACAGGAACTTTAACACATTTATTACAAATATTGCAAATATGCTCAAGGAACCCACGTATCCAAGAAGTTCAAAGACTCCTACAGAGCATTAACAAAAAGAAAAGTACACCAAGGCAGATCATAATCAAATTTCTGACACCAGTGATAAAGAGAAAATCTTGAAAGTAGACAGAGATGAAGTAGTATATTATTTGAAGATAGACTGATATAAGGTAAAGATTATACTATAAATCCTAGGACAACCACTAAGAGAGAAAGAAAGAGAGCCAAGAAGCAAATGGTGGAGATAAAATGGAATACTAAAACATACTCCATCCAAAAGAAGGCAGGAAAGGAGGAGAGGGGGACAAAAAACAGATAGGACAGAGAGCAAAGAACAGAGAGATTTAAACCTCACCATATCAATAATTACATTAAATATAAATAACCTAAGTCCTTCAATTAAAAGGCAGAGATTGTCAGACTGTAAAACAGCAACACCCAACTATATGTTATCTATACAAAACCCACTTTAAATATAAAAACCCAAATGGGTTAAAAGTAAAAGGATGGCAAAAGATATACCATTCAACACTAAGCAGAAGACAGCTGGAGTCGCTACATTAATACTAGACAAAATGTCCTTCAAGAAATGGAATATTACCAAGGATAAAGGGGGACATTTCTAAAGATAAAGGGGTCAATTCATCACAAAGACATATCAATCCTAAATGTGTGCACGCCTAATAATAGAACTTCAAAATATACGAATCAAAATCGATAGAAACAAAAGCAGAAATAGAAAAACCCATGATTGGGGTGCCTGGGTGGCTCAGTCATTAAGCGTCTGCCTTCAGCTCAGGTCATGATCCCAGGGTCCTGGGATCAAGTCCCGCATCGGGCTCCCTGCTCAGCGGGAGCCCTGTTTCTCCCTCTCCCACTCCCCCTGCTTGTGTTCCCTCTCTTGCTCTCTCTCTGTCAAATAAATAAATAAATAAAATCTCTAAAAAAAAAAAAGAAAGAAAAACCCATGACTGTGGTCAGAGTTTGACATTCCTCTCCAAGTAATTGCTAGAACAACTATACAGAAAATTAGATGAGGACTTAGAAGATTCGGCTAACACTATCAACCAACTCCTAACTGACGTTTCTAAAACATTCCATTCAACAATCACCGAATACACATTCTTTTTAAGTGCTCATAAACATTCACCAAGGTAGACCATATGGTAGGTCATAAAACAAGCTTCAATTTGTTTAGGTGGATTGAAATCATGCAGAGTATTTTCTCTATCCTCACGGAATTAAACTAGAAATCAATAATAAAAGATATTTGGAAATACCATAATATTTAGAAATTGAATAACATACATGTAAATAATCCATGAATCAAAGAGGAAATCACAAGGGAAGTTAGAAACTGTTTTGAACCAAATGAAAATAAAAACCAAACGCACATATTGAAATGTATGTTACATCTGTGCTATATAAGAGATATATGGAGATGTACGGAGATATCTGGAGATATATGAGATATATGGAGATATACGGCTGTAAGTGCTTATTTTAGAAAAGAAGCAAGTATAAAATCAAGTCTCTAAACTCCCACCTTAAAAAATTTGCACAAGAACAAATTAAATCCAAAGTGAGTAGAGAAGGAAATAACAAAGAGCAGAAATCAAGAAAATAGAAAATGGACAAACAATGGAGAAATTCATAAAACCAAAAGCTGGTTCTTTGAAAAGATACATAAAATTGATGAACATTTTGCTAGCCTGACTAAGAAAATAAGAGAAAACCTAAATTACTGTTTGCAGGAATGAAAGAAGGGATATCATCACAGAGCCAGTAGACGTGAAAAAGTTAATCAATAAATATTACGGACAACTCTATACCAATAATTTGAACAATTAGACAAAATGGACAAATGCCTTGAAAGACAAGAATTACCAAACCCTAGAAAAAAAGAAAGTTGGAATGGTCATAAATCAATTAAAGAAAGTGAGTAATTAAAACAAAACAAAAAGCACTTCCTTCAAAAAAAAATGCCAGGCTCAGATGGCTTCACTGGTGAGTCCCACCAAACAGTCAAGGAAGAAATAACACTACCCCATACAAACTCTTTCAGAAAACAGAGGAGACGGGACCTTTCCTGACTCATCCTACAAGGTCTATTAAACTGATCCCCACACCAGACAAAGGCGTTATAAGAAAATAATAAATATAGAAACAAAAATTCTTAGCAGAAGATGAGCAAATTGTATCATGACCAGGAATGCAAGGTTGGTTTTAACACTTGAATATTATCAACCAATGCAATTCATCGTATTAACATATATGGCTTAACTTTTCTCATTGAGCGTCATGAAGTTCTTCATATATGGTTTTTGGTAGCATGCTTTAAAAATCTTAAACTGTGTCTATATTTGAAATTAAATTTAAAAAATTATTTTTAGCACCTTCTTAGAGACACCTGGTTGTTCAGCCTTTTCCCCTGATATGGACCCTAAGTTGCATTTTCTCCTTCTCACGCCAAGAATCACCCTGCACATCTGCTGAGTTCCCACTGTGAGAACAGAAGCACCATCATTCATTGAGCAATTGCTGTGTGCCAGGCTAGGAGGTTCACACATGTTATTTCAGCTTCATGCTGACAACCATCTGTCACAGAGGCATCATCCCTGTTTTATAGATGAGGAAACAGAGGCCCAGAGTGATGGTAGAGCCACCAGACTTGAGCCCTGTTCAGCCAACTCCAAGGTAAATGATCGGATGGCCATTCTTAGTACCCACATGGCAGGTGCCATCCTGTACCTAGTATGGACTGATTGGAGCTCCCTGTCTGTTTCCTCATCTCTGACATGGGGGCTGATGAGAGTCTCTACCCCTGTGCGGATTAAATGGGTTAATAATCGTGAAGTACATAAAGAAGTGCATGTTTAAGTATCTTTTGCCCCTTTGTTTGTAAATAAATATTTGTTTATATAAATATTTGTGAGATAAATCAATTGATCTTTGTTCTCATGATGGCCCGGGGACAGAGGGGTTATGATCCCACCTTGAAGATGAAGGAACCAAGGCTGAGAGGTGAGTGAGCTAAATGTGTGTGCGCCGCCTGGGCCACACTCCCAAATGGTGGGTGGTCAGAGAGAAAGATGCCATTCGTTTCTGGATCCTTGGGAAACCAGTCCAAATGCTGGTGCCTCCGGGACATTTCTCCTACAGTCCCTTCGGCTGAGTTTCATGCCCCCAGCTAGAGAAGGGAAAGTCCCTCCCCTTGGAATCCACTCTGCTTCCTACCTTGACTGATTCAGGGCTCGTGACAATGACAGAGGTTTTGTGGAAGACGTTGACCCGCACGACGGGGCCATACTTCTTAGCCCTGGAAACCAAAATGACCCAAAAGGAGGCTGTCAGCTTCGGGAGACGTGAATATCACCATCACCACCCAGCAGGAGGATCAGGGTGTCCCACCCCAGGACTCAGTGCTGAGTCACACCCCCCACTGGGTCTCAGTTTCCACATCCATGAAATACGGTTGCTACCCTCCTTTTCTGGGAATCAAGCCAGATGGTGTCTTTGAAAATGCTTTGGCAAGTGTAAAACACCGCATACACTGACTGTTAACCGAGTCACACCCCACACTGAGTTTACAGATGAAGAAACTGAGGCTCAGAGTTTCTGATGGCTAGTCTCAGGTCACACAGCTGGAGACAGGCAGAACTTGTCTCTGAGCCAGTCTCTTCTGCCTCTCCACTCAGAGGAGGAACTTTGGGGGTGGCAGTGACCTGGCCGGGGAGGGGGTAGTGTGTGTGTGCTGGCCTGGGACGTGGAGGGGGGGTGCCCTACGAGGGACCTGAGCTGGAGTAAGGGGAACAAATGACAACTAGGACCCACCAATCCAAAAACACATCTTGGAGCACGCGGCCACAAACCTCATCCTTTTTCCAAAAGTAGGGGAGGTGTCCTAGAAGGAAACTAGAAGAAACGGGAAACATTTAAGATCACCAGAAGTCACCATTAAAGAGCGCCCCCTTCCCCACAGGACCCCGTGAGGTTGGCGTTATTAGGCCCACTTTGCAGATGGGAAGACTGAGGCACGAGTAGGTATGGCGCTGGCTCAGGGGCACCCCGCGGTAAGAAAGCGGGCAGGACGCAAAGCCAGGTCTGGCCAGCTCCAGAAGTCTCCATAGAGGGGAGATGGAGAAGGATGAGACCATTTCCCTGGTGCAGAGGCTGGGGGCTGGCACATGGAAGGTGAACAGTAATATTGTGTGCAATTACCTTGGAACATCCACTGAACACTGGCTACATGCTGGGCACCATTCTACGCCTCATTCCATCTGACCTCCCCCACCGCCTGGAGGTAGGTATGTTGTTAACCTGTCTTATAGGTGGGGCAGCAGAGGCCAGAGAGATGGTCATCTGCCCACCACTGCACGGCTGGGACCAGGTCACCCCGAAGTCCTTCTCACGAGGGGATTGTTTTGTGATGCTAAGTCTGTGTAAGTTAAGTGTGTGTAAGTCTGGTGTGATCATCAGAATGTGAACAAGTCTGTCTGGCGTCACGTTGTGGCACGTTTTAAGGTATGTCCTATCCCCTGCATGACTTATTTCAGACAAGCTCACTGACTACACCATCTAGAATGGGTGACAAAACTGCAGGTGGGGTTTTCTGGGTCAGAGAACTCCAGGAGGGAGATAGAGAGCAAATAAACAAATAGGTAAGTAAATATTAAGTCGGAGAGCGATGGGAGAAAAAGCAGAGGGGTAGGTAATCAGAGGTGGGGATAGGAGGGGGGTTGCCATTTTCTACAGGCAGGTCAGGAAATGTCCCTCTAAGAAGTTAACATGTGAGCTGCCATAAGTGAAGGACTTGGCTGCCCAGGTATCTGGGGGAAGAGCATTCCCGGCAAAGGGAATAGCAGGTGCAAAGGTCCCGAGGTAGGAATGTGCTTGGTAAGTTCAAGGAACAGGGAACAGGTGTTGAGGCCGGAGTAGAGTGTTTGAGGGAGATGTGGTACAGGATAGGTTCCCCGAGGTAGGGGGTAGATCACCAATAGCCTTGTGGACTATTGCCAAAACTTTTGCTTTGACCCTGAAATGGGGGACACTGGAGGGTTTTGAGCAGAGCAGAGACAGGGTCTGATGGGTTTTCAATGGCTTGCTCTCACAGCTGCTGTGCTGAGAGTAAATGGGATGGGTGGGGGGCAGGAATGGAGGCAGGGGCACCAGCGAGGGGCTGTGAAAGGGGTTAAGGCTCAGACCAGTGCAGTCAAGAAGCCCGGTTTCTAGTGTACATTGTAGGAGGAGCCAAGCGGACTTGCTGTGTGTGTCGGTGTGAGAGTGGTGTCAAGGCTGACTCAAGTCTCCTGGGCTGCGTGTTGGAAGGATGAATGGGGCTGCCATTTACTAAGGTGAGGAGGACTGAGAAGGAGCTGGTGGGGGGCAGCAGACCCCACCTCTGTCCTTGTCCACGCAGGCAGTATTTGAGGGGCAGCACGGAGGCTCTGCCTGGGGTTCCTGGCTCTGCCTGCAGGAAGGGTGGGCCAGAAGTTCCAGCTCAACACCCCCAGAGCAGCCTCCACCAATGACCCTGCGCCCTCCACCTGGGTGGGGGTCAGCTCTCAGAGCTCCCTGGGAGGTTGCACCTCAGTTGTTCCCAGAGGTAACTTGCTTTATTGGCTTTCTGACCTCCTCTCTCTATCCAATCCCCAACTCCCCCCAGGGATCACCCCCCATAAACCACTTATATTTCCATTCTTGTCTCAGGATCAGCCTCTGCGGACTGACCTGAGACAAGTGGATTGATTTAGGAATTTGGCTTTGAACCTGTCAGGCTTGCAGAGGAAAGCTACTAAGGGAAGCAGGGGAGTACACACTTGAAGCCAGGCTAGAGATGTGAATGTGACAGTCCTCAGCAGAGAGGCAGTACTTACAGACCACAAGGGGTGAGTGTAGACAGAGAAGAGACCCAGGGACTGAGCCAGGAGGTCAGGCAGCAAAGGGATCACCAGCCAGGGAGACTGAGCAGGAGAGGCTGGGGAGGCCGGAGGTGAGCAGCGGGGAGTGGAGTGGGAAGCCTGCAGCGAGAGCAGGACAGGGGAGGGACAGGCACTCCTCCAGGCTGCCCTGGGGCCAGGCAAGACCGGGACTGAAGCGCTCTGGTGCATGGGGCTGCAGGGAGGTCACTGGGACCTTGGCCAAAGCAGGGTGGGTGGAGAGGTGGGTGACAGAGCCCGATGGGGTGGTGGGCCCAAGAGAGGAGGGGAAGGAGGAATGGGGGCCCAAAGATAGGCAGGCTTCTCAGGGGGGTGCTGAGGGGGTACAGAGCCAGGGGGCGGCAGTTGGAGGGAATGGGAAGGGAAGAGACGGGTGTTTTTTGGTTTTTGGTTTTTTTTTACAATGTGTTATATAAAAATGGGAATGATGCAGGAGACAAGGAAAACTGATGGCAGAGGAGGGGGGCGCACTGCTGGGGCCAGAGCTGCTGAACTAAGGGGACGGCTCTCCTTGGCCGCAAGCACTGCGGTCCCAGTGCAGGGAAGGGGGCAGCTGTGGCCCTACAGCCCTGGAAGGAAGTTCTCCCAGGCTGTTCCATTTACTCTGGGAAGTAGGAGGCAAGAATAAAGGCTGAGAGTGGGGATGGAGGGGGAGGTGGCAGGGACTGAAGAGAAGCAAGAACACTTGGGGAGTGGGCGGGCAAACGCAAGAGGAAGTGCAGTGTGGCCGCCGGGCAGCCGAAGCCCACTCGGGGTGAGCGGCCTTGAACTTACACTGCTCCACCTGCAGAAAGATGGACCGTGGACATCACACATGACTGGCTGTATTTCCAGAATAATCTAGTATCCGTGGTGACTCGCCATTGCCGCACGTTTTGGGAGAATGTTCTGTTTTGAATCACCTGAGTGAGAACACAGTCTAGACCCTCCTCACCCTCCCAGGTCTGTCTGAGAGCCCCCACCATAAACACTGGGGCCCGCTACTATTTGGGGAAGAACGTGAGTGACACTTCAAGAAAGCCCAGGGGACAGAGTGGCACGCGGTCCCCACGGCCAGGCAGGAAAAGGAACTAAAACCCATTCCTTCCAGTTCCTGCAGGGGGCGCTGGGGAGACAAAGGCAGAGCGGGAAGACCAGGTGTCGGAAGTGAACAGGTAAGGGATGGTAGAATTCCCAGACCGTAGACTACTGGGACTGGGCTGGGGGGCTGACAGAAGCAAGCCCCTATTGGTAGACTGGATATGGCGGAGCAGCCCAGGGAGAGAGAGGAGGGTGAAAATCCCCCTCCCCTGCCCGGTCCGTAGTACGAGCCGTTTCCTATAACACTGTGGTTGGCACAGTGGCAATCCAAGGTTTCTTGAGGGCAGAGAAAGTCTTGGATGGTAAAGAAGGTGAGGTCATCTGGAGAGCCCACTGTGAGCAGCCACAGGGAGGAAGGGAGCCCACACGACGGCTGAGGTGTGGGTCGCTGCCAGGAATGAGGGTAAGGGGTCATGACTGTGCCTCGTGCCAGTGGAATGGGGTGGTGAGTGCTCAGCTGGGTACCCAAAGTCCTTTGGATGCGCCACCCAACGGACCCAGCAAGGGGTCGCCACCATCGCCAGGAGCCAATGGGCAATTTGTTGAACAGACCCCACCTCGGGCAACCTGGCAAGTAGGAATGAGAGGAGGGAGCCCGGGCCACCCAGGAGCCCACTTGAGAAACTTATTCCAAAATAAATAAAAACTGGAAGAGAGAGACTTTTTTGTTGTCAAGTTTACATTCATCCCACGCTACCAGGAGAGTGGGGGCTGATGAGGAAGCTGAGAGCAGTGAGAGAAAAATGAAGAAACCACAAGTGTTTGTGTGGGATCCAAACGTGGGGTCTGAGTTTTCAGCTGCTACATGGATGGTTGCAGTAGGATGTTGTTTGTGGGGAACTCCAGGAGGACATCCCGGAGGAGAGGGCATCCTGGTGACTCCTCATGAATAAGGAGGAGGATGGGTGGGGGCAGGGGGAGCACAGCAGCTGCCCCTTGTAAGGCAGAGGGATCCTTGCCTGAAAGTTGGCAAAGCCTGGAAGCACCAAGGGGCAAATGTTACTACTAGAGATTCGGTATGTACACTTCTTTGCCAACCATGGTGTTGCCAATCATGGTTTGAGGATCCAGGCTTTGAATACCAAAGCATCTGATCTGTGCTAGAAGAGGTTCCAGAACTTTCATTTAGTGCAGTTTTATATGTGACCACCAAACAACTGTTAATCCCAAATCTTTCTGCATATGCATCGTTCAGTTCACCTCCTTAGAATAAAGAGCCCAACTATAATTATATTTAATTATATAATTAAGTATTATATAATTAACCTCCTCCCACTCCTCCACCCACCCACACGCACCTGTAGGTCACACGTAGATTCTGCAGTGTAGGATTTGGGGGAGAATGCAGGCATAAAAGGAAAGAAATACAGACACATACTACTACATGATGAACCTGGAAAACATGATGCTCAGTGAAAGAAGCCAGCCACAAAAGGCCACATATTGTATGATTCCATTTATATGTAATGTGCAAAACAGACAAATCTAGAGACAGAAAACAGATTAGTGGTTGCCTAGGGCTGGGGGGGTGAGGAGTAGGGGGAGATGAGGAGTGACAACTAATGGGTACTGGGTTTCTATTTGGAGTGATGGAAATGTTCTGGAACCAGCAGTTAAGATTGAACAACTCTGTCACTATACTAAAAAGCACTGATTGTACACTTTAAAAAAGGGTAAATTTTATGGCATAATTTTATTTTTAAAATGCAACTTAAAAAAAAGAGATGGGCGAGGGGCAGAAAGGGGCTTGATTTAAGGTCTGCCTTCTCAAGACAAAGAGACTAGACCAGGTCTGCAGTGCTTGAAGCACGTGGGTTTACAAGAAGACCAAGTCATGATGAGACCCAGCAGAATGAGCACAAAGCTCATTCAACCCCAAGCTGTTGATGGCTGATTTGAAAAGTTGGAAGGGTGACAGTGTACCTAACAGAGCTGGTAGGTGATTTCCACCATCCACTTTGAATGACTGTTTATCGAGTGTCTACTATGCACGTGCCAGATGTCAGGGACATAGCAGTGAACAAGACAGACACAGGCCTATGGGAAAGACAGACACTTAACAAGAGGTGGCACAAATAATTACCCAACTCTTACAATGACATAGAGTTTACAAAATGAACATGATATATTCGGGCATGGAAGCAGGTGGGACCTCCCTGAGGAGTTAGCATTGAATCCAAGCCTGGAAGGTGAGGGGAAGAACCATCTAGGTGGTGTGGAAGACAGGGCTGCTAAGCATGGGAAAAGGAAGACCCCAAGGTGGGCTAGGGCACCTGGGAAGACAGGGAGCCAGCAGGGAGAACAATCGCCTCCCTGCGTCAACAGCCACAGAGATCTTTCCCAAATCCACCAAACAGGGATTCAGGCTTCCAATGCCAGGTCATCTGGCTTGGGCTGGAGGTGGGCACCTTCCAGAATGTTCATGTCCTGAGATTTTAAAAAGTGTGTCTAATACCATTGTTTATTCATTCATTCAACAAATATTTATTGAGCATCTGTAATGTGCCAGGTGCTGGGGATACACGAGCGAACACACAGCATCCCTGCCCTCCCGGGGCTCACATTCTAAAGGGGGGAGACAGACACAGTCAACAGGTGAACAGACAGTCAACAAGTGAACAGAAGGTAACTTCAGGGGTGATGGCCCCTTAGGAGTTGGGGGCTATGTGGGCTTTACAGAGGGTAGATGGGGAACAGCAAGACCCTGGAGCTGCAGGAGGGGGGTTGCAGAAAGACGGGGCGCAGCAGTGAGCAAGCAAGAGGGGGGATGAGAACAGTACAAAGTGGTTTCTGAGAGCTCAGCATGGGCCTTGCTGGCCACAGAGTGGACTCAATCTAGAATTAGATTTCCTTCTCAAGTGATGGAAAGCTTTTAGAGCAGAGAAATGACACATTTGATTTAGCTTCAGAAAGGTAAGCTTCTGGTGTGTGGGGAGGTAAGTTGGGTGGGGGTGGGGGGCAAGGATGGAATGGAAGTACTAAGGAGAAGACAAAAAGGATATACCAGGACAGAAATACAAAGGGGAATGTGACCAAAGTAGAGTGTGTTGCAATCCAGGTGGAGTGACCCCGTTCCAAGTCTCAAAGTTAAGAGCGCCCACTTTAGAGCCAAGGCTGACCCGGGCTTAAATCTAGGCTTACCAACTGTGTGACCTTGGGCAGGTGACTTTGCCTCTGCGCGCCTCAGTCTCCTCGTCTGAACGATGGGGTAACAATAGCGCCTACCTAACAGGGTTGTCGCTGCCATCACGTTTGTGGGGCCCAGCAGAGCGCGGTGGGCGCCGAGCAGCTGCTGCGGCTGTGAGTAATTTGTTACTAAGAATAGTTAGCGCCCCTCTCCCGGCCGCCCTCTCCAAGCGGCCACGCGCAATGGCGAGGCTGGACCCCCCGCCCCGACGCCGGCTTGGACGCGGTCCCCCGGCCCCCCATTCGAGCGCCCCATCCAGGCCCCCGCCCCCACCCCCCGCTCACCTGGGCCGCGGCGGCCCGGGGATGTGCTCGTAGCGGCTGCGAGCGCGGTGCACGAAGGTGCAGCAGAGGCCGAAGGCGACCAGGACGGCGCTGCCGAGCAGCAGCAGCAGCCCGGGGCTCATGGCTCCCGGGCAGGCTAGGTAGGCCAGGGTCGGGGCCGGGCACCG